AGAGAAGAACAGACAAAGGAGGGAACGAAGAAGAAGAAAAAGAAAAGAAAAGTTGTCGAGGAGGAAGAAGAAGGAAAGAAAAAAAATAATAATAACGTACGTGCGCCTTGTCGTCGACGTTTCAGGATCGTTGATGACGTGGCAACGAGGACGATGACGTGGCAACGATGATGATGACGTGGCAATGTCGACGTTGAAGGTGATGACGACAGGGATGACGTGGCGATGTTGATGACGAAGACAATGACGACATGGCGTCGTTGAAGCTGCTCCTCGTCGATCAAGGCGGGCGGAAGGGCGATTGATGCCGCTCCGATACCAGTAATGAGGCAGAGGCAGAGCAGTGAGGCTGGGAGAGAGAGGGAGAGTGACAGCACACACACACACTCACTCACCTTGACGCAGACTCGACACAACTCGACGGACGGAGACACAAAGTGGCAAAGTCCCAAAGTCGCTGTCTTGAATTTCCGAACACAATGTCGAAGCCCAGTCACACTGAACACAAGCACTGAGGCTGAAAAATGGCCGTACTGTGCTTGAGTCCGTACTTAAGTGCCGGACTCAATTATGGTCCTGAGGGCGAAAGTGAAAATGCCTCAGGGCCGAAACTGAAAATTGAAAGTCTGAGAATGGGCGCCAGAATGCCGGATGACGCCAAGTGTCCAAACTCCGAAAGTCCGAAAAGGAGGAATTTGAAAATGGCGCCAGAATGCGGATGGCGCCAACTGTCCGAAATCAGGAAAAGCAGAAAAGAAGTAAAACAAAACAAGAGAAATCAAAAACAAGAAAAAGGAAATAAATACAGCAAACTGGCGGGTGGCAATCTGCAGACCAGGGATCGAGCCCTGGCGGAGTCCGTAACACTACTCCTTTTTGACGCAAGTGGAGCTGTTCTGGAAATAAATACAGCAAACTGGCAGGTGGCAATCTGCAGACCAGGGATCGAGCCCTGGCGTTGTCCGTAACACTACTCCTTTTTGAAGCAAGTGGAGCTGTTCTGGTTCGTCTTGTGGATGCCATTTGGCTTGGTATAAAGAAGCTTGATGCCATCTGAAACTGTGTCCCCCTGCGAACCAAGGGTTTTACTCTACTTTCTATAGTGTACATCTGTTTCTGACTCTTCAGTCAACCCCATTAGTTCCAGCCTTTCTCTTTTCTTTGTTTTCCAACTTTTCCTGTTTGTTCAAATTTCTTGGACCGATTGTCCTGAAACAGTTGTGGGTCTAATTGGCATCGTCTCAAGGGTGTTGTGTTTGTGGACGATGGGCTTGGGCCCTGCCTTGTAAATCCAACAGCTGCCAAACTGCTGGAGGCACCCTCTCATGGTGAAGTGGATTCCGCAAAGATTGCAGCAGGGATGCGAGCACTTGCTGCTCGGGCTAACATGAAAGCCGATGTATATAGGTAAAGTTATTTATTCTTTATGCGCCCTCTCTCTCTCTCTCTCTCTCTCTCTCTCTCTCTCTCTCTCTCTCTCTCTCTCTCTCTCTCTCTCTCTCTCTCTGTCTCTCTCTCTCTCTCGGGGGGTGTGGCCTCCTCACACACTGAAAAGCCTCGCATGTGAGAGGCACATTAAAAGAACGCTGCAAGAAAAAACAAAGGTGTATCCTAAAGAAAGCCGAAGTACACAAATTGAAGAAAGGACTGTGGAAGGAAAAGGCAAAATAACGGTTCAAGTGTGCTTCAATTTTGTTCGCTATAGAGGTTCAGCTGTTCGCTATGTAGGTAAAGCTGTTTCAATTCTGAATCCGTTCATCTGAGTGTGCTTCATGGTTTGCTACGGAGGTATAATGGTGACAGTTCACAACACACACTGTGGGGTTCAACCTCCCTAAGAGTCCGTAAGGGTCTGATGAAATGGTCTGCCACGGATGCTTTTTTTTTTGTGAAGTTGCGCACAGTGAACATAACAACAGAGTGGGGGCATCTCTTGTTGGTCTTAGATGATTCCAATTACACACACATACACAACAGATGCTTTACGCAGCGCACATACAACACACTGGCACAGTCGTACGTTTTTTGTGTGGAAATTGTGTGGCGAGCATGACAACGGTGTGTTCTTGCTGGAGGAGTCTTCTGTCTTAGGTAAGTTGTCTCAAATCTTCTTCCTCCTCTTTGGCAGTGACGTGGGTGTGTAGTTTGAGATGACTGTCGGGAATGCCAATGCTGTTATATTTGGTAAATGTCTTCGGTTTTGTGGGCCGATGTGGAAGACTCTCCAAGTTTTTTCGAACCTTTGAGGGGATCGGTTCGGTGCCTTCTTGCTGGAGTAGTCTTCCGTCTCAGGTAAGTTGCCTTCTTCCCTCCGTCCCCTCATGGTTTGAAATGTATATATGTATACATATGTATATGCAAGTTTGCCGCTTTGGCGGCAGACCGGTGTGTGGACACTTGGCACTGAACACACAAACATGGCCAACCTTGCATTTTCTATTATATTGCTTATGTATACTTTTTCCTTATGGATGGCTTGTGATGATCTGTGAAGGGAATGAGAGAGAGAATCTGGGGTCTTTTCAAACAACACACATTCCGGTCTTGCTAGCTCTCTATCTTGGCAGATTTGAGTGGCCAGGATCGAGCTCGTACTAGCGAGCTATTCTCTCTTATTGTGTTGTTGATTATACACGGCCCAATTCTTTGCCCTGCTTTAGAGCATGGGCTGTTTGGATGTTTATGGGTGGCCACGAGTTCTCTTTGGGGGGAATGTATGTTTTGTGGGCCGGCGTGGAAGGCTTTCCCAGTTTTTTTGGACCCTTATCAGGGGGATTGGTGTGTTCTTGCCGGAGGAGTCTTCAAGCTCTGGTGTATCGCTGCCAAGTTGGTTTCCAGTGAGTGACACCCCCTGACGGAGGTTCAGAGTTCTTGGGCCATCAGCCAGTCCTCTCATTCCTCTGACCATAAATGTTTGATCTGCCACACTCTTCTCTCCAACCTTGTGAGCCATCTCCGATCTTTTGCGCGGACGGTCCAGGGGTTACCTTCTGTGTCTTTAAACCACCAGTCCCCCCGCCGACCGAAAATGAGCTTTCCGGTGAGTACGCGGCGCATTTGGTGAGGGGGTGCCAACCAACAGGCAACCAGTGGGTCCAGTCGCACAATTTCGAGCACTAACTTCGGCGATTTTTCATGCCCCGAATAATGCACATAAAAATCTGAAAAATTGGGATCTGGTAGATATGGTCGAGGTCTTTCCAGGGGAAGTATCAAAAAAAATGAAAACAAAATGTTTCGATAGTGAAATAGTTGACACACCGAATCGGCGCATTTTCCATTTTTGCCACTCCGCCACCTATGGGCCAACTGAAAAGTGCCCTAACTTCAGTGATTTTTTGCGCTCAGACCAAGGCAAAAACTCTTTCTGAAAATTGGTGTCCTAATGGATTAGATAGTGATCTTTTGAGGAAAAATATCAAAAAAATGAAAAAAAAAATGTTTTGACCATGAAATAAATTGCGGCAGCGATTCAGCGCATTTTCCATTTTCGCCACTAAGCCGGTCCTCCACACGGTCCTACCGGCAGCCCTCATTACCATGTGCTACTGGTCCCCCCGATTTTTTAACGTCGGGGGGACGGGTGGCTTAATCCATGAATTGCAGAAGAGAGGCTGCATGGGAACTTCCTCTCACAGCATGTTTGCTGCGCATCAATCGATGCCAGCCTTTCGTGGTCGGCGTTCAGTATGGATTGGGTGAGGGAGTAGGCTGCCTGGACAGTTGTTGCTGCACTCTCCTTGATGTCCTGCTTGTCTTGATTGACCATTCTTTGCCGGTTCCAGAAGAGGCCTTGCATGTTGGGTGGAGAGCTTACTGGTGCCAGGTTTCTTATACTGTCTAGGGCCATGTTTGTCCTAGGAAGAAATTGTTTGGTCAGGAACTTGATAATCCATTTCATCTGAAGGGCAATTGATTCCTGTTTTGGGTTTATGATGCCCAAGCATCCTTCTTGCGGTTTCCTAATGACCAGCTGCCAGGCAACCTTGTTTATGCAGGTGGTCTTGTTAGGGTCACCAGTCCACAGGAAGCATCTGACCCTAGCCTTCTGAGTCTTCAGATCGTCGTCGGTGGGGACAAAATGGATGCCATATACCGCAGGGTGGAGAATATTGCTGTGTTTATTATCAGTGCTCTGTCGAACAGAGACGCCTGGGCTTTCTTACACGGGGCTAGGCGAGCTATTGCCTTTGCGATTAGATTTTGTCCCATCCCTGGCCATGTGCCGTCCTTGTGACCATGATCCCCAAGTACCAGAGTGCTTTATTGCTCGTGGACCATGCCATGGGGGTGGATAGATCAGGAGTTTGAGGGGTGATGCTGTCTGCTAGCCACCAACCTTCGGGTTCACACCAGTTCACCTTCATTTCTGATGGGAGTCGGAAGGCTTCCATGGCTTTGACGAGGGCCTGGAAGGAGGAGTTATTGGCCCAGATGAGAACCGTGAGATCGTCTGCGAACATCAACGCAGTGGGCAGAGAAAAGTCATGAAGAGCGGTTGGCGGAGGGTGCAGTGGGTGGGGCAGGAGGAGTGGGGGTGGGTGTGACCTTGATATGGTTTTGTGATGGGAGAGCGGATCTGCCTACGCGGGGTACGTTGAGAGTGGGAAGGCTAAGGATACNATGGTTAGGTTTAGGGTCCTAGGGGGAGGGGAGGTAAGGGGAGATTTACCATTGGGACTGCCAGGATTTCGTAACGGTAGGGTCGCTGGTAGGGCCCTTGGCCCTCTATACATCAACAGGAACTCTGGAACAATAGATACCTGCTGCGTGCAATTTGGGACCCTCCGCATTGTCAGTCTACTACGCGGTGGGGTGCCATGGTAGAGTCTGGGTACGAATGTCACGTTTCCCGTCACTATGCTACCCACACGAGTGCACACATAGCGCGACCGGACTACGGTGGGATCCGAATAAGGGTTAAAAAATGCTACGCACACACAGGGTGTTAGTATGGGGTAGTGGTGCTGGACATTCTCGACCCTGCAGATACCATCTGATACCTGTGAGATGGCGCTTCATCCAGGGTGGTGTCCGGTGGGAATACTCATTTTGGGGGAGTCAGCTGAGCCTGGGATAGGTCGGCATCATACTTAGGGAGGGCAGGAGGGATATCGCACCTTAGTGGGAAAGTAGGGTGCAATAGATACCCGCTGCCTGCAATTTGGGGTGCTGGACATTCTCGACCCTGCAGGTACCATCTGATACCTGTGAGATGGCGCTTCATCCAGGGTGGTGTCCGTTGGGAATACTCGTTGAGGGGGAATCAGCTGAATCAGGGACCTCAAGGGGAGCCTGGGATAGGTGGCATCATACTTAGGGAGGGATATCGCACCTTAGTGGGAAAGTAGGGTGGTTCGCTGCCCACTAGAGTCTGCGGGATAAGGCACAAATGGGGGATGACCGCATTGCGAAGACCCCACCTCTGCCTGGGTCGGCCTTGGCATTAGAGTCAGGGTAGTGTCTGCACGAAGACGTTTGGGTCAGTCCGGTAAGCGTCGGCGCAGATCACGACTTGCGATCTGAGCATTAGTATAGGTCATGTCATTGTGATACCACCTTGAGGTGGCTCCCCCGGGGAGCCTAGTAACTCATCTGACCTCCCAATGGACGAGTACCATGGGGACCTCCTGAGGCCTGGCCTCCGCCCTCTACTACACCTGTCTCTTATACACATCTAGATGTGTATAAGAGACAGGTCTAGGTATAGAGTGGGGAGGCTAGGAATGTCGGGGGGTACCGGAGTGTGTGATGGGAGGAAGTTGGGCGAATGAGGAGCTTAAGCTGGAGAAGTGGGGAAGGAGGACGGGGATCGAGTAGGAGGGCAACGATGTCTTCTGGATTCTGGTAAGATAAGATTGGTTAGGCAGCAGGCTTGGTGCACTCTCCGCTCGATCCTTCTCTTACCTTTTATCAGTCACAGTTTGACATGCATTGGTGGCCATGTTCGTTGCCAAGTGGGAAGATGTCTCCTGGACGCTTGTAGTCGCTGAGTTGGTTGCATTAGCTCGTTGCTAATAGATGACGGGCCATTTGAAGTTGGAATACCCAATACCGGGCTGGAGGAGAAGTGTCTGGTTGAGGGTTTGCTTCTCCCTCGAAATCGGCGAGGGCGAAATCGCGTGGCAGGCTTCCAGTGGTTGGGCAGGAAAGCGGCTTGGGCGAAGCCGCGCAGGCGAGACCGTGGTGGGGGTGTCGGCCCAGCGGGCCTGAATCGGGCGCTAGCGCGATTTTGCACAGCGCTGCGTTAGCGCGCTTATCGATGGCATGGGCGCAGGAGATACTTTTTTTCTCTCACTGTCAGGACAACAACAAAAAAATCAAAATTCTAAAAAATCCAGGAAACAGAATAATGCCAAGCAAGAGAGGCCAAAAAAAGAAAAGCAAGGCAGGAAACACTGAAAACC